AGTAATATAACAATTTATGACATTTGCTTCATTTATTGGAAATTTCGTAACCTACGACGGTCGATTCACGACTATTATTGGTTATCAAAGTATCAACTATCAATAGACAATAATAACAAAAAAGTTATTTTTAAAATATAAGCATGTTAGCTTATGTATTGTATGCTATGTATGTATGTATTATATTGTATTATATCGTATTTGTTTGGTGTGCTGACAAATTGATCCTGCGTCATTGAGCCCCCGGTAAACATTCTATTAAGTATTTATACCAAGCCTGAGATATTAAGATCCCGCGAAAATATGGTCCCCAGTCATTTTATCAACCAACATATTGTTTTATCGGGGTTACACTTATTTCTTCACCAAGGCCCAGGATAACCTCGAAAAATATTTTTATTTTTTTATTTATGGGAAAAAATAATTTGATTTTAAAATCATAAAATATCTCCATGAAAAAAAATGTTAGTTTGAAGAATGGTATTTAAAATCGTCCAAAATTGTAAAATTGATTTCTTTAGGTAGCCCAATTGGCGACTGGTCGCAAATCATATTTTATTGGCGACTTCAGTCCAACAAAGATAGCCCAATTGGCGATAACCTGGCAACCCTGCGGCACCGATACTGAGGATCAGGACAGTGGACTTCCAGAGAGGAGCCACCAACACCACCGATACCGAGGATCAGGACAGTGGACTTCTAGAGAGAAGTAACCACCAATTCCAACACTGAGGATTAGTACAGTGGATAGCCAACACAATCGAGGATTATCGACCTTTTCGATTTTAGTACGCTGCCAAGTACCACCCAGCACTTCAATTGTTGCGACGTCGGGAACCACTTAAGTCAACTGTTAAACCATAAACGTGAGTTTTATGTAATAATTCCCACCCTTTTATGTAAATCCCGATACCTTATTTTCACTGTACACTCTTTGAGTATCAAATATTTTGTTGTGAAAATTGTTAAATAATGAAATCATTGTATAATTTGATATAAAATAAAGAATACCGACTAAATACAAATTGTACGAATGTAAATCATTACATGTATTGATTTTAAACTGAATGGGATATTGAATTCGTCATTGATACATTTTCGTCATGTTTTCTAGGTACTTTCTTTATCATTTTCGTTCTTMAGATCTCAAACTCATAATCTGATTTGTATATTAATGATTGTGCTTCTTCATAAAGATTATCAAAATTATTATCATCATCTCTAAGAAAATTTAAGTCATGTTTGGAAGTTTAAACTATGTTTCTTTATTATTATTATTTCGTATGGCGTCAATGAGCAACAGAGCAACATCAACAACACTTAGAATATTAAAAGATATAAAATCTACATAATTAAAATTAAAAGATGGTCAATAGTGATAAAACTCAAAAATAAATAAAAACATAAAACATAAAATAGATAAGAGGTTTCCCATTGGTTAAATGTAAAGGTCATGCTATAGCTTCACATCCAGGTTCTTCATCCATTCCACCGCTTCTCCCTTAGTCAGGTGGTCTTCTATGGTGCCTTTAAGTGCACGAATTGGACATTCAGTGATGATGTGATTGATCGTCTGGGATTCATAGCCACAGTCACACGTTTCATTGTTACGCAGTCCTCATTTATACATCATGTGACCACTTCTACCATGACCAGTTCTAATATGCTTTAGTGTTACCCAAGTATTTCTTTCAAGGTTAAATCCCTGTTGTTTGGTAGATGAGTTAATCACCAGTTTTTGGTTATCTGGATTTTCTATTGCCCAATCGTTTTCCCATTTAGAGCTTATATTGAAATTATCTTTGGTGAGATCCCTTGCTGTTTTCCATTGTGGTTTACGTAACTTAAGTCGTTAACCATCTTCTAATGATCTAATGCAATCAGGTCCGTGTGTATGGGGAGGAAGGGTTTATTAACGTACTTTTTCCATTCTCGCAATAGTGCATGTTCTCTTCGTAACTTTGGTGGAGCAATGTTACTAAGCACTGGTAGCCATTTTAGTTGTGTAGACTTTGTTATTAAGATGTTTGTTTACGTTCTTTGTGTGGACGCTGTTAAGCCAGACAGGGGCACTCTATACTCGGCTGTGAAATACACTAATGATAGCGTGCTTATACGTAACGTATTTGCATCAGCACCCCATATTGAGCTAGATAGCTTTGAAATGATGCTCTGACGGGTCTTGACTTTTGCTGATAGTCTGGTTAGGTGTTCTCTATAAGTGATTGTTCTATCTAGAACCACTCCTAGGTATTTTGGGTGTTTAGTATTTCGTACTTCCTGGCCGCCAAAGCTTATATTTATTTCTTGACTAGCTTTTTTGTTATTCAAATGAACACTGTTACTTCCGTTTTTGTTGGGTTAGGCTTTAGTCTCCACCATTTAAAATATGAGTCTAACTTACTAAGGTCGTTGGTTAGGGGCTCTTCTAGTTCCTCAAAGCTGGTACTCTGACTAGCCAGGACGATATCATCGGCATAGATGAACTTTTGGAGATCTTTTGTATATAGGTTAAATAATATTGGTGCTAGGACCGATCCTTGTGGTAAGCCGTTATTTAGCACTCTCGACTTACTTTTTTCCTCTCCTATGTAGACGGCTAGTTTTTTATTACTGAGCATGTTGTTAAGTAGTGTGAGTAATGTTTTACAGGGGATTACATCGAGGAATTTAGATAATAAGCCTTTTCGCCAAACTGTGTCGTAAGCAGAGGACAGATTGACAAAAGCTACAGCCGTTTTTAGTTTTTTATCGTAGCCGTTTTCTATGTGAGTGGTTAACGCCATTACTTGGTCACAACAATTTCGTTGTGGGTGAAACCCTGCCTGTTCATGCAGCAAGACCTCATCTATAGTTGTTGATATTCGGTTATAGATTTGTCTCTCGAGTAGCTTGTAACTTTCACTTAGTAGCGATATGGGTCTGTAACTTTTTACATCGTCATTTGGCTTCTCTGGTTTTAGAGCCACTAATACCTTGGTTGTTTAAAATAATTTTGGTAATTTAGCCGAGATTTATTACTCGTTGGTTTGATATTTGCATCTATAGATTTCGCAAAACTATGCCAGTCTGCTTTTCTAAAATTCCATCTCGGTTTCTGAATGGTTTTAAAAATTGGGAGTTGAATTCCGACATTTATGAGTATAGGCCTGTGCTGGCTTATTGGAAAATTGTTTAAAACGGTTCTGTAGGCTGGTATAGCTATTAGGTTTTTATTTTTTGAGACGATGCATAGGTCAGGGATGTAGCCCATGTCCCACCTGCCTGAATGAAATGTCTTCCTATCTTTTGCATTAAATACCAGTTGCATGTTTTCGTTATCCATCCAGTTGTATAATATTTCACCGTCATTATCATTCATATCATATCCCCAGCTGGTATGGTGGCTGTTAAAGTCCCCAATATATATATTGATTGATATGGCATGACTGGTAGTGGAGGTGTTGGCCATATTTCGTTAGGTGGCTTATATATGTTGAGGATGATTATCTCAGCGACACGTATTACTATAATGTATATGGTGTCTGTCGATGTTGAAAAAAGGCGACTCCAGTTTTTTATATCGTTCCTAACGTAGGTGGCAGATCCATAGCTTCTATGGTATAGAGCTGAAATTAGCGTGTATCCAGAAATTGTAGCTCTTCCTGTCATTTGTAGCTCATCTGGAACGTGAGTTTCTTGCAATAGGACTACATCTATTTTATGTTCTTTCAATAATCTTTCGAAATATCTGCTTTTATCACTGCTAATTCCTTCCACATTAAGTTGAAAGATACGGAGCTGAGTGCCCAGATCTCGAGTCAAATAGTCCTCAGAAGGACTGCTTCCTGGTTGAGAAGTGTTGATGTTAAAGTTGCTCAATGATCATGGTTACTGTAAGGTTCTAAGAACAGTACAGCAATCTGTGGTGGTAATTCTTTAGCAGTCTAGGACGTTGCCCGGGGTACACTACGTGGAATCGAATTACCTTTGCACCCCACTATGTTGGTTAAAGTCAACAAATCAATATCTACCGATTGCATACTCTTTGACAATAAACTTAAAACAGTTAATATATTTTTTTTAAGTATAATTCGTTACCTTAAGAGGACGTCAAACCCGCATGTGTTGTCTCCGTCGTACAAGTGCGTAGCATAGCAAATTTTACGCTCAGCAGATCACRTTTATCTCCGTTATTTTAAAATTTAGAGTGAATTGACCTATTATAAAAANTAAGGGGCTACTGGAGTTCTTTTGCACACCATATTTATAAGTCTCAGAACATATATGATCCATCAAATCTGAAGTAAAAAAATATTTGAAAATCTGAAAAGGTGTATCTAGGTCTAATATATAATTTGGTAAGTCAGAATTGCCAAGAAAATCAGTTTCTAATACTGGAAAATTGCCATCTGTCCATTTAATATTTTGAATTACTATAGGAGGTTTGGTAGGAGCTGTTAAAATTGATGTTTTACTTTGTTGGGTYTGTCTGGTTTTTTTATTATTTGGTGTGGTGATTGGTTCAGGAGAAGATGAGGATGGAGGAATATTTAAATTGTTACCATTATCCAGTTCTGGATCCAAAACAGGAAATTGAACAACTTCATCTAAAATGTTTTCAGGAAATTTATTTAATAAGAGTTCTGTAAAAGTAGATAAATCCGGTTCTTCTAATAAATCCCTGTACTCATCAAACATTTCGATTTGTTCAGTATCAAGGTCGCTTTCAAAACCATCCTCAGAATCTRATGGAATATCTAATARATGAACTATATCATCATCAGCTAATTTATTATCCATATTTTATTGTGCTTTAAAAAATTATAATCTAAATAAATAAGTAATTAACTAACAAATAACAACTAGCTATAATAAGTAMTAATTTTATGAAAAAAAGGCAGCTAAAGCACTTCAAAAGAAAAATTGATAAACAATCTGTATCAAAAGTGTATAATTTAATGATAATGTAACGGGAATGCATAGTGTTACCCATGTGTAACAAAGTAAAAATCGAATATCTGCAGTAGTACGAATCTACAAAAGGTCCACATTTCAAACGAATAGATAAAATACAGTGTAGGAAACATGTACAATTTTTCCCAAGTTAAATTGTATGAATTAGGACCGATTTATCGTACATCATATTGACATACCTCAATGAAAAAAGTCGATAACGCTGATAACCCAGAAAAATATCGAACAACTTCAAATTAATTAATAATTATTATTATATTACTATTTCTTTACACTATAAACTAAATATATATTACCTTAGCTACTAGTATATACATAGAAAAGCATAAAACGATCATTATTTTAAGTATGAGATGTTGATAAAAACATTGTTACTCTCAAGTAACGTTATGCATTGTAGGGT